GCGGGCGGGGGCGGCTGGGGCCTGGCCGAGGCCGCAGCCGCTGCTGCCTCTTCCCTGCCGCCCTTCGCGTGCGGCGCATGCGCACGACGCTTCGACCACGGCCGCGAGCTGGCGGCGCACTGGGCGGCACACACCGACGTGAAGCCCTTCAAGTGCCCGCGCTGCGAGCGCGACTTCAACGCGCCAGCCCTGCTGGAGCGCCACAAGCTCACGCATGACCTGCAGGGCTCGGCCGTGCCACTAGTGCAGGCCTGGGTCTCAGGATCCGGCTCAGCTGCAGCTGAGGAGGCCGAGGCAGGCGGCGCTCCCCAAGCCTGGGTCAGCGCGCTGCTCCTGCGCCCCGCAGAGGGCGGCGTGCCCGAGCTGGGGGCACTGCTCTCCGAGGGCAGCGGGGAGGCCCCGGCGGCTGCCGAGCCAGCGGAGGACACGCTGTACCAGTGCGACTGCGGGACCTTCTTCGCGTCGGCCGCAGCGCTGGCTGGCCACCTGGAGGCGCACTCAGGCCCCGCCACCTTCGGCTGTGGTCACTGCGGGGCGCTGTACGCGGCGCTGGCCGCCCTGGAGGAGCACCAGCGCGCCAGCCACGGCCAGGGCCAGGGCCAGGGCGGCGCGGAGGAGATGGGCGCGAGGGCGCCCGAGGGGGAGCGAGCTTCCGGGGAGCGCGCCACGACGCCGGGCCGCAGCAAGAAGATCTTCGGCTGCTCCGAGTGTGAGAAGCTGTTTCGCTCGCCACGCGACCTGGAGCGCCACGTGCTGGTGCACACCGGCGAGAAGCCTTTTCCCTGCCTGGAGTGCGGCAAGTTCTTCCGCCACGAGTGCTACCTCAAGCGCCACCGGCTGCTGCACGGCCCGGAGCGGCCCTTCCCCTGCCACGTGTGTGGCAAGGGCTTCATCACGCTCAGCAACCTCTCCCGGCACCTGAAGCTGCACCGGGGCATGGACTGAGCCGCCCGGCCTGCGGACCCGGGAACCGGAGCCTCCCCGGCTGGGGACCCCAAGATGTGCAGGGGGA